ACTCAATAAACGTAATATTTTTTACAGCCAGAAAGTATTATGATTACAGGTTTTCTAAGCATTTAGAATATTCCATTATCTTTTAAAATGATTATAATCACCTCCAATTTATGCAATGGCTCAAAGTTTTTATTAATACTATCGAGCCATTTGTTATTATTTGATTTATTATATTCAAAAATTTTCTGGATTCAGAGTTATAAAAACTTTTTTTTTGCTCAAATAAATAATCAAAGTTATAGTTTTCCGGAAAAGCATTAAAAATAAAGTTTACAATTATATTTTTTTGATTAGTTTTTATAATTTTATTTTAATTTTCATCCTTTTTTTTCGTTTATTATTAGTAGAAAATCAGTTATGGCAATCGATGTATATTTTTAGAATAGTGCTTATTGAATTTTATATGCTTTTTAAAAAAAACACTTAGTTTGTCAAGATGTTTTTTATTTTGAAGAATCGAAGAAAATAAATCACTAAATCAATCATATGATTTTCAAAACTTTTTTTGGGTGGCGATTTTACCCTGGTCAACACAATCTAGGCTATAAATCCGCACTTACTAAATTTACTATTTTGAAAAAGGGCTAATCTACTAATAAGTCAACCGATTGATGTAATAGAGCATGAGTTTTGTGATCAATTTATGCATAATAAGTAATTTTATTAATGTTAAGCATATCTAGCATATTATATCGGCATTAATATATTCACTAATATTTAGTTGAGCCACCCTCAGCATCATAGCATACCCTTACCTGATTGGACATACTATTGACTAGCCCATAATAATATCTGGGTGGAATCGAATTCCAAGTAGCTTTGACCTTTTCTTCCAAATCTTCAATGCTTGTAAGTTTATCCAAAGAACTGTGTAAACGGCTTTCAACCTCCTGCCAAAGGTTCTCTAATGGGTTCAAGTCTGGGCTTTGCGGTGGCCAGGATAACATAGAAATACCAGCATTATCAAAAAAATCTATAGCTTTTTTGGATTTGTGAGAGGGCGCATTATCTTGTTAAAAAATACCTTTTCCATTAGGAACTAGTTGATGTATAGCAGAGATACCATATTTTCTCATAAGTTGTGTATATACTTCACCAGTTATACAGCCATGAATTGAAATAATTGGTTCTAATCCATACTATGAAAAACAACCCCAAAACATACGACCAGGACTACGATCTACAGTAGGAACAAGACACGATTCGACAAATTCTTTAGCAGGGGTACACCAAACTCTGATATTATGACTTGACAAAAATTGTCTAAAAAAAGACTTATCTGACCATATGATATTTCGCTATTGGTGTATCAACTAATGTAGGTGATCTTTAGCTCAAGCATATCGTATTTTTTTATTTTTTTTAGAAATTAGTGGTTTATAACAAGCAACACATAAACAAAGACCAGTTTTTTTCAAAGCACGACGTATTGTAGAAATGAAGACGGTTTAATTTTTTTTCTTATTCCATAATTCTTGTATTTCACGAGCACTTAGATGACTATAATTAGTATCTTGTATAACAAGTCTTTTAAGTTCTTCTAGTGCGGGTGTATCAAAAATAGGCTTTCGGCCTGGATGTTTTTTCACTATGGTAGTTTCTGCTTCTGTACGTTTTAAGATATCATGAACTGTAGTCTTTCTACATTTAACATTTCTAGCGATAGTTGAATATGATTCACCACGATTGCGACTATACAAGATCCCACCATGTTGTAAAGTGGTTAATTTTTTTTTTTTGGCCATTGAATTATAAAAACCTTAAAGGTTAGAATTATTTTTCAAAGTTCTTTCCTTTTTTTATAAAATTTTTATTTTAATTTAGTTCATAGTGTTGTAATATTTCAGATTTACTGTCGGATATAGTAAGTTAAATTTTAATTTATTAAACTTTATAGTTATAATGAGTTATTTTTTTTTTTTTTTTTTTTTTTTTGGTGTTAAGGTGGCCTTTTGGCCGGCTCCTTTTATTCAGTTATAGTTAACTTTTACAATATGCGTTTATAGCATCTCGTATATATATTTGGAGAGTACATACTAGT